AAAAAAAATCCTGCTAGGATTTAGATTGATATTGCGTTAAATCTACAGGTCAATTTGGGAAGAACTAAGATCTTTACCATGTGGAAACTTCTAATCCAACAACACAGTATGTTTTTCATTTATTTAGGTTTTCTTTCATTTCTTTTGTCATCATTTTGTAGTTTTTAGCATACAGATCTTGTACATTTTTGTTACATTTATACTTAAGTATTTCCTTTATTTTTTGAGCTATTGTAAATAATGCTATTTATTAAAATTTTGGAATACAATGTATATTGCTAGCACATTGAAATACAATTGACTTCTGTGTTTTGACCTTATTCTTGCAATCTTGCTTAACTTACTAGTTCTAGGATTTTTTAAAATTCTGTTTCATTTTTTATATAGACAATCCTTTCATCTGAGAACAGGGGCTGTTTTACTTCCTCCTTCCCCTTTATTTTTTTTTTTACTCGACTGCACTTATTCCTAAGACTTTCTTTCAGTCGTGTTGAATAGGAGTAGAAGTGGTAAGAGTAGACATTCTTGCCTTGACCCTGATTTTATGGGGAAACCATCTGGTCTTTCACCACTCAGTATAACAATAGGTTTAGGTTTTTTCATAGATGTCTTTTATGATATTGAGGAATATCACTTCTTTTCTTAGTTTTCTGACTCTTTTCTAAAATAATGAATGGATGTCATATTTAGTCAAATGCTTTCTCTGCATCTATTTATATGATCATATGGCTTTTCTTCTTTAGATTATTTTCATTGATGAGATTTTCAAATATTGAACCAGCTTTGAATTTCTGGGATAAGCCCTAACTGGTCATGTGTACTATTTTTTTATATGTTGCTTGATTCATTTTGATAATGCTGTGTTGAAAAATTTTTTGTTTATGTTCATGAGGTATATTGGTCTGTAGTTTCTCTCCCTCCTCCTCCTCCTCCTTTTGCTGTTGTTGCTATTCTTCTCTAGACCTGGAGATTGTTTCCTAGAAGTTGAATAATTCAATCACTTAAAGAGTTATAAGACTATCATGTTATCTATTTCATCTTGCACAAGTTTTGCTGGTTTGTGATTTTGGGGGATTTGGTTCATTTCCTCTTTGTTTTCTAATTTATGTATATAAGTAGTTTTTCCTAATATTCTGTTAATGTCTGCAGAGTGTCTAGTGATATCCCCCCCTTTTTTTATACCTGATAATGATAATCTGTGCCTTGTATCTTTTTTTTCCTCAGTCAAGTTTTGCTTCATGTTTATCAATTGTATTGATGGTTTCAAATATCCAGATTTTGGTTTCGTTGATTTTGTCTATTGTTTTTTTTTCCAGTTTCATTGATTTCTGTTCTTTATTATGTCTTTCTTTTCTGCCTGATTTCTGCTTATTTTTTTAAAACTGGCTTCCTAAGGTTTAAGTTTAGATTATTAATTTTAGATTTTTTTCTATGTATTTAATGATAGAAACCTCCCTGTTATCATTGATTCAGCTGTACCATATAAATTTTCACATGTTTATTTTCACTTAAAAATCTTCTACCGGTGCCTGGGTGGCTCAGTGGTTAAGCATCTGTCTTCAGCTCAGGTCATGGTCCCAGGGTCCTGGGATCGAGCCCCGCATTAGGCTTCCTGCTCTGCGAGAAGCCTGCTTCTCCCTCTCCCTCTGCCCCTGCTTGTGTTCCCTCTCTCGCTGTCTCTCTCTCTGTCAAATAAATAAAATCTTAAAAAAAAAAATCTTTTCTAATATCTGTTGAGATATATGACCCACATACTATTTAGAACTGTGTTATTTCATATGTGTTTGAAGATTTTCCTGATATATTTCTGTTATTAATTTCTTGTTCAATACCTTTATGATCAGAGAATATATTTGTATGATTTCAATTATTTTAAATTTAAGGTTGTTGTATGACCCAGAATACGGTCCACCTTGATGAATATTCCACGTGCACTTGAAAACAGTGCCTCTTCTGTTTTGGGTGGACTGTTCTGTAAATGTCAATTAGACCCAGTTGGTTGATGGTGTTTTTCTTTTGGTTTAGTCTCTTTGTAGTCCAGTCAGCCTCCTGAATTTATATATTTATGCCTTTTGCCAAATTTGTGAAGTTTTCAGCCATTATTTCTTCAAATGTTTGTTTAGCACTATACTCTTTCTCCTGTCTTTCTGAGACTCTAACAATATGTATATTAGAACTTTGGTTGTCCCACAAGTCCCCAAAGTGAGGTTTTGTTAATTTGTTTGCCAATCTTTTTTTCTCTGTATTGTTCAAGATTGGATAATTGCTATCATTCTATATTCAAGTTCACTGATTTTTTTCCTTTGTCTCCTCTCCATTTTGCTATTATTTCTATCTAATGAGATTTTAATTTTGGTTATTGTATAATTTTATTCTAAAATTTCCATTTGTTTCTTCTTTATACCTTCCATTTTTTTTCATGATTCTTTTTATTTTAACATTTATTTCAAGGATGTTCACAATTGTTCATTTAAGCACTTTTGTAATACCTGTTTCAAAGTCTTTAACATATAATCTCAATATCCATTTAATCTCATTATTGGCATCTATTTATTATTATTTTCCACGCAAGTTGAGATTTACATGGTTCCTTGCTTGCCAAGTAACTTTGGCAATGTTGTTGAAATATATTTGTTCATTTGTTCATTAGGGGAAAAAAAACAACCAAAGTCTGTCTGATCAGTTAATTTCATAACAAATTTGTTTCATTATCAAGTTTAATTATTTTTTCTTCTATCAGTTATTTATCTCTTTGTTTTTTAAAGATTTTATTTATTTGAAAGAGAGAGTGAGAGAGAGAGAGCATGAGCAAAGGGGAGGGAGAGAGATAAGCAGACTCCCCACTGAGCAGGGAGCCCAACGTAGGGCTCAATCCCAGGACACTGGGATCATGACCTGAGCTGAAGGCAGATGTTTAACCTACTGAGCCACCCAGGCGCCCCCAGTTATTTAACATGGCACTACATACTTACATATAAGCAAAGATAAGATTCTCCCACTTGCAGAGAAGGAAAATAATGCTTTTTTCTCCTCACATACAAGAACTACCAATTCTTCCCTTGTAAGAATGACTAGGAGTAGGAAGGGTGTATAAGGCATGAGTGGCTTCTCTATTAGTTTTGCTAGTTCACTTAAAATTTCTCCTGCTAGAAACTGACAACCAGAACAGAATAGGCTTTTTGTGGCCACAAATAGGCACCCACATATTTTGACAATTCTGTTGTCAATTCTTTAGGGAGAGCAAGGTCTTCTACCTGCTCATTAAAAGAAGAAGAAAAGAAAGTAAAAACAAGCAAACAACCAAAAAGCAAAGAAAAGTTTAAAAAAAGTAAGGAAAGGAAAAAAAGGAAAGAAGGAAGGAAGGGAGGGAGGGAGAGAGAGGGAGGAAGGAAGGAGCAAGCTCTCCACTGACATAAGCATGTCTTTTTTTTAATTTTTAAAAATAATTTATTTTTATTAACATATAATGTATTATTTGTTTCAGGAGTACAGGTCTATGATTCATCAGTCTTACACAATTCACAGTGCTCACCATAGCACATACCCTCCCCAATGTCCATCACCCGGCCACCCCATCCCTCCCACCCCACACCACTCCAGCAACCCTCAGTTTGTTTTCTGAGATTAAGAGTCTCTTATGGTTTGTCTCCCTCTCTGGTTTCATCTTGTTTCATTTTTTTCCTCTCTTCCCCTATGATCCTTTGCCTTGTTTCTTAAATTCCACATATCAGTGAGATCATATGATAATCATCTTTCTCTGATTGACTTATTTTGCTTAGCATAATACCCTCTAGTTCCAGCCACGTCATTGCAAATGCAAGATTTCATTTCTTTTGATGGCTGCATAATATCCCATTGTGTATGCATGTATATATGTATATATATATATATATATATATATATATATATATATATATATATGCCACATCTTCTTTATCCACGTCTTTCAATTGAGACACAAATACCCTTGGGTTTATAGTGCTCATGGGCTTTTTTTTAATGGAGCTTTATTTATTATTATTATTTTTAAAAAAATATTTTGGGGGTTGGAATTTTATTTTTTTTATTATGTTCAGTTAGCCAGCATATAGTATATCATAAGTTTTTGATGTAGTATTCAACGATTCATTAGTTGTGTATAACACCCAGTGTTCACCACAGCACGTGCCTTCCTTAATACCCATCACCCGGTTACCCAATCCCCTCAACCCCTTCCCTTCTGGCCTTTTGATTATATACTTTGAGATTCAGGTTCTAGTTCTGTAGGTTCCCAGCTTGCAACCTTGTCCTCTGGACTCCTTTCTCAGCTCTGAGACCGTGGTTATAATACCTCCCATGCAGGAGTTGCTCTGAGGTTCAATAATGCATGTTAAAGATTAGAACAAAACAGTGCCTAGCACACAGAGCTGGCGATATATCAGTGATAGATTTCTTTCTTCCAAGAAGCAATTGTATTTATTCTGAAACAAAATTTATCACAATGAAAAGTGCTCTAAGGAAGAATTTTCAAATTTCCTATAGTAACTCATTCCAATGTTATATATAAGAAAAAAAGTCACAAAATCTAAGTGTATGTGTGCAATGTCTATTTAATGGGGCTTAGATATCGACAAAAGTACCTCCTCTCATTAGTCATTTCTGAGTAATCCCAGTAATACTAGTAGGTAAGATGAAATGAAAACAGTTCAAACAATGAAAAAATACCTAAATAAATGTGAACTATGTGACATTTTGGGGATGGATGGCATTGATAAGATTTTTAAATGAAGCTAACATATCTTTGGCAAGTTAATTAAGAGAACTTTAGCCTGTTAAATACTGTTTGAAATTTTACAACTTAATGAAGGTGTGGACTATATATCTTTGCTCTATCCAGAAAAAAATCCCATAATTTTCACTGAAGGAATTACAATAAAATTAGGAACTTTTGCTTTAGAACATTAATTTAAACAGTGGACTAAATTTTCTTTTCTTAAAAAAAAGAAAAATAATGTACTTACTTCTAAGATTATGAAGTAACATATCTAGTAAAGTCATAAATTTTGAATACTGAATAACAGAAAATTGCATTCCTCTAGCCCACAAAAATCCAGATACATAATAATCCAGTAGAATGGCTTCCTTTAAACAGGTGTGAAGGTTTTTGAAATTCAAAAACTTTTTCAGTTTTCTGTAATAAAAAGAAAAATCCAGACATTAAAATCAGATTAGTGAACAGTTCCTTTTCTAAATTTTGAAAATGCAGATATTTTTCTTGAATGAAAATTCTGTAATTCCCTACATCTAAAATTATCAAAATCCTAAGTCTAAAATGACGTTCAAAAGGAAACAGAAAGGGGGAAGTTATATCAAAATCCTAAGTCCAAATGACATTCAAAAGGAAACAGAGGGAAGAGGAAGAAGAAATGAAGAGAGCAATCATGAGCATTCTTGTTGGTCTTCTGCCTCCACTTCCTCTACTCTTGTAATTCTCCTCCTCACCTTCCTCCTCTTCTTCTTTCCTTTAGTATCTTTTTTCCGTTTATAATCAAGTTTGTTTCTGATGACATTCTGGAACTATATTGTTAAATATTTGTTGTTTTCTTTTTTGAAAAATTCAAATTATGTCTGTTTTACGCATTTTGTCTATAGCTATAATTTTCTATTAACCTTCAAAACTTTTTTCAAATCATTTCCTTTTCATTTTATATACTTTTCTCAATACTGTCTTCTAGGTCCCTTAGTGTTTTCAGCAGTGTTAATTCTCCCTTGGGTTGCTTACAGAGCTCACCTCTGTAAGATCTTTTCTACTCTTTGCTTTTTTACATGCTTTATCACCTTTATTTCTTGTTATCTCTTCCTTGAGTTTTTATATCTCTGTTTTATGCTCTTGTTGTGGTTGCTTCATAAGTTTTTTTTTAATTCATGATAAATGTTTGACAGTATCTGCTCATGGCTATATTCATTTGGTTGTATTTTCTTTCCTGTATTTTTCCCCCATTCTTTAATTACTTTTTTTTCTTAAAATGGCTTTGTATGCATATTCCTTGTTTTGTACTCAGACTTGGCCATGTGACAAACTATTTTCTGTACAGAATAAGTTTGTGTCATTTATTCTAGTTTTTTACTCTTTTTTTTCAATTAGTGGGGGGAAGAAAAATAAAGTAGGATAGGTTCTTATTACCATCACATAAACAATCTATTTCTTGTAAATATGGGAATTATCTGTTCCAAGCCTGTACATCCTGGCCCTGCTGTTGCAAACAAGAGTTCTTGAAATGGCACTTCAGGTTTTTCTTCTCACCCAGGAGAATAATTTATATTTTTTAACTCACTCTAAGATCTTCAACTATGTGTATCTTTCTTGTTCTTTCTCCTCCACTTCTGCTTGATCTATAATGCTTCTGGCAGTCATCCTCTATTTTGTGGTTTGAGCATACAGGATTCTCCTTGTTTGGACAAAGATGTTATTGGTATTTCCTTGTTGCTTATATGTGGTTTCTGAGGAACTGTGTGTGGGTGTGTGACAACTTTATACTGCCATTTTCAAAAAAGGAAATCCTTATTATTCATAATATTGAAATAGATTCTATAATCAGAATAATAAATATAGCAGGATTAAACAAGTTTGGGAAAAAATAAAGCTGATGTTGTATTTAACTCTCTAACATCCATCTCATCTACAGTGGTGTCAAGGTAGACCTCAACCCTGAAAGTGAGTTCTGATTCCTCTAAAACAATTATGATAATCTCTCCCTCTTCCCATAATGCCATATAATGGCATTCAGTATATGGTATTCTCTATAGTAACTACTGGTCTATGGTGAGCACTCCCCTACTAAATTGTTCTAATTCCTAACTAAGGGTAAGACTTATTTTCTTCTGTGGAATCAAAATACAAAAGAGTAAATAAGTAGGTTTGGTTGTTACTGGCAGCCATCTTATAAGAAATATCAATTCTAAAATTATAATCATTTCTTGATGATACTATTGAGGCCTTGGGTCAATCAACTCTGGAGTTAATCTATCTCTGAACATTCTGTTCCCAATAGTCTTCCTTCTAACTGTACTTTTCATCTGCCATCTCCATGCTGTTCTTTTAAAAAATTAAATACTTGACTTAAATATTTGCATGTGCTCTTTGCTTTTCTTTCATTTTTTTCAGTGTCTGATTATATGTAAATGAAGCCAACTATTTGTCTAAGAGTATTTTAGTGAAACTTCTTTGACATCCTCTATCTTTGCTCTCCCCCATCCCCCCTCCACCACTTCCCTCAGTACCATTTGAATCTTAACCTTCAACTTGAATGGCAGGGCTGGATATTCACCACTTCTATTCTTTGTTCAGATATTTCACCCCAAAGGAGGTTATGCAGGGAGGCATTTGGAGCAAGATGCTGTTGCAGTTTGAATGCAAAGTTTCCATGCATTTTACTGGCAAATCTTTAAGTTTTTCCTCTGGGATAAGGGAAGATGGGACATGGGAGAGGAGAGATGGCATTAGAGACTACAGGGAAAGAGAAAGATGCTTAACAGGGATTTAGGAAGTTGTGCTATAGTGATAGGTGATGTAACTATCTATTTTGTTTCACCAAGAATTCCAGTAAAGGTATTACATTATTCCTACATGCTCTTGAAATTGGAGTGCATCTTATTTTTTAAATATGATGACATTCAGCAATAAGCCTTAAGGCAAGAGCTGAACAGCTCATGGAGGCCCAGTTATGAAAGGTTATTAAAAGATCTCTCAGGGTTATTTCTGTGTTTAAATAGTTATTTTCAATTTAGTCCTTAACCTTTTTTCAAAAAGGATTTGGGTGTATCTGTAAAAAATCGGGGTTACATTAAAAGCATGAATTATTGATAATAGGAGATCATGAGAAATGTACTCAGACATTTAACTTTACTTGAAGTGTACTCTAAAAATATGTTTTAATGATACTATATTGTTTCATTTGGTTGGCTGTTTTCATGAAATGCAATTTTTTAATTTTAAAACATAGGGAAATGTGCTGATTTCCTATAATGTATTTAAATAGGTTTATAACTTTGTAGACTATAAATATATATATAACTTTGCATGATTTGCATGATTTTGGCATACTTCTGTCACTTGGTGACAGGATACCTAAATTATATTTCTGTCATTTTGAAAAGTATATAATCCCCATTTATAATAATGCTATTTTAAATGGGAAGTGAATGATTGATTGCAAATATTTCAGGATTACTGTTACAAAAATCATATGAAGAACTTCAAGAAAATTACTTTGCAAAGAAATGGCTCCTGACATAACACTGTCATTTATCCAAAATTGATATCTTAAAATCTGAGATTACTTCAGGTGAATTCTATTAATGAGACAATCTAAAAGGTCAACCTACGTTGAACCTGGTTGTTTCTATACTGTTAACTTCTGTATCACCCTCTGTATTATTTCCTTTATCCTAGACATTACCTCTTAAAGATTAAAAATACTTTTAGAATTTGAATATTTGACAACAAAGAGAGCCAGTAAGTGGTAAAAAAAGATTGTCACACAAGGTATGGTACACAGTACAACTTAAGATGTTGTAAGAAATAAACAAGTATAAAATATTTGTTTGCAATACCTTTTATTTAATATTAAATGCATTTAATATAACATCTTTGATATTTAATACAAATAAATTGTAAACTATATTAAATATCTTTCATTTGCATCATATTATTTTGCCTAGTATGAAATACTTATTTTTTGCACTTTAATGATCAACATTTGGGATTATCTAGAAATGGAAAATATTTTACTTAAAGCATAAATCATCAGTGATACTAATACAATGAATGCATTTTACTAATAATTCTGATACAAAAAATCAGAATTTCCAATAGGCATTCATTTCTATAAAAATGCTAAAATTACTATGATATACTTGTTTAAAAATCTGTGAAATTTTTAATTGACTAATACTTATAAAGATATAGATGGTAAGCAGTATGGCCAAATCACAGGTCACCAGGATTTCTAGTAAGATTTGCAGGCCCTGAAGGTGAAGAGCATCCTGGGAAAAGGCCTGTCAGTGTCATTTGCCTGCTCTTAATATGTCTTCCCTTCTCAGATTTCTCTTCCAGCCAGTACATCTGTCATATTTCCTTCTCAGTAGTAAATCACCTCTATTCCACAATATTTGAAAGATTTGCAAATGATAGCCACTGACAGAGTCATTTTCTATTTGTCCATTATGGTCCACAATACCCTCCTAACATCCAGATGACTGGTCTGCAGAAGAGACATTACAGTCCAGAACATCACATCATGTGTAGAGTGGGCTCTCTACACATTATAGTCAATCAGCCTTCATAGTATTAGAGCAAGGTAACTTTTAAGATGACTGATTACTAAAAACGCATGTTAGGAACTTGTGTTTTAGTTATATCTGACTACTAAGTAAATGATTTGCTGTAGAAATCAATGGCTTTAAGAATGAGATGTACACATATAAGAATTGTTCCCATAAATTCAGTTACATTCACATTTTTAGCCAAAATACATGAAATCAGAGTATTTAGTATAGCTTCATATCCAATAAAATCACAGGTGGATGGCTAATACTCAGGGTTTCCAAAATATTAAAATGTATTAATTCTTAATATTACAGAAAATACAACTTATTCTTGTCATGATGAGACAGAAGACCTAAAGGTTATTGTGCATAATTGAGTTTTATGAATGAAAGAGAAAAGAAGTAGAAGACAGCATATGTTAAAGACTGCTTTTAACAATAAATCCTTATTCTCTGTTAACATTTGCATGTTGGTCTGAAATGCATTTCTCCCATAAAGAAGACAGCCAAGCAGTGTAAAAAGTCAGTTGTTTGAGAATTTTGGTGTTCCAGACTCTGGATATTATATATATTTGGATATATATATGTATATATTTGCATGACATAATAACAATTCTTTTGAAAAAAAGTTTAAATTATGTAATAGCATATCATGATCATTTATAGATGCAGAACTAGAACTGTTCTATATTTGGTTGTAATACTGAAGTGCTTACTGTTGAACTCCATCTACGTCCTCTGCTAGCATTTCAGTGATTTGAGCAACTGAAAGAAAATCCGGAGACAGAATCTTTTCATGCTCCTGGAATTCAGCATCTCTCTACCAAAACAGAAACAAAAACAAAAACAAAGCAATAACTGGAATGAGTTATTTCAATCATGTTTTACATATTAATCCAATGATATCAAAATTTGTTTACTGTGTTCTAGTTGCTATCAGAAATAAAATTTAAACACAGCAGTCTTGTAGATAATCATTTTTCTCGTCAGTTTTCAAGTAATGGTACCTCTCAAAAGTTGAATGTCTAGTTAAACTGTCTTTTATGCATATTTAAAACAGGGTGATGGCTTTCAATTAACAAACTCATTTTTGGTATTTTATTTTTTTCATCATGATAGTGTACTCTTTAATCTCCATCCTCCCCCCCCCGCCAACTCCCCTCCAGTAACCATCAGTTTATTCTCTGTAGTTAAGAGTCTGTTCCTTAGTTTGTCTCTTTTTTAGCCTTTGTTCATTTGCTTTGTTTCTTAAATTACACATACAAGTGAAATCATATGGTATTTGTCTTTCTCTACTGATTTATTTCACTTAACATTACATTCTCTTGCTCTATCCATGTTGTTGTGAATGGCAAGATTTTATTCTTTTTACGGCTGAAAAATATTTATGTATAGTTTATTATATGTATTATTATATATCCCACATATTCATATTATATGTAATATATTATTCTCCTACATCTTCTTTATCCATTCATCTCTCAATGGACATTTGGGCTGCTTCCATAGTTGGGTTGTTGTAAATAATGCTGCAATATAGGGGTGAATGTATCCCTTTGAATTTGTGTTTTTGTATTTTGTGTGTGTGTGTGTGTTTGTATTTTTTAAGTAAATACCCAGTAGTGCTATTACTGGATCATAGGGTAATTCTGTTTTTAATTTTTTGAGGAACCTCCATACTGTTTTCCACAGTTTGCATTCCCACAGACAGTACATGAGGTTTCCTTTTTCTCTACATCCTCACCAACACTTATTGTTTCTTGTGTTTTGATTTTACCCATTCTGACAGGTGTGAGGTGATAGCTCATTGTAGTTTTGATTTGCATTTCCCTGATGATGAGTGATATCGAGCATCCTTTCATGTGTCTGTTGGCCATCTGGATGTCTTCTTTGGAGAAATGTCTGTTCATATCATCTGCCCATTTTTTAATTGGATTGTTTTTTGGGTATTGAGTTGTATCAGTTTTTTATATATTTTGGATTCTAACTCTTTATCGGATATATCATTTGCAAACATCTCCCATTCAGTAGGTTGCCTTTTAGTATTGTTGATTGTTTCCTTCACTGTGCAGAAACTTTTTATTTTGATGTAGTCCCAATAATTTATTTTTGCTTTTATTTCCCTGCCTCAGGAGATACATCTAGAAAAATGTTGCTATGGCTGATGTCAGAGAGATGACTGCCTGTGCTCTCTTCAAGGATTTTTATAGTCTCATATTTAGATATTTAATTCATTTTGCATTTATTTCTGTGTGTTGTGAAAGAAAGTGGTCCAGTTTTATTCTTTTGTATGTGGCTGTCCAGTTTTTCCAACACCATCCGTTGAAGAGACTGTCTTTTTCCCACTGTACATTCATTCTTCCTTTGTTGAAGATTAATTGACCATATAATTGTGGGTTTATTTCTGCATTTTCTGTTCTATTCCATTGATCTATGTGTCTATGGTACACCACTACTATACTGTTTTATTACTACTGTTTTGTAATACAATTTGAAATCTGGAATTGTGATACCTCCAGTTTTGTTTTTCTTTTTCAAGATGGCTTTGGCTATGCAAGATCTTTTGTGGTTCCATACAAATCTCAGGATTGTTTGTTCCAATTCTGTGAAAAATACTGTTGGTACTTTGAGAGGGGTTGCATTAAATGTGCAGATTGCTTTGGGTAGTAGTATAGACATTTTAACAATACTTGTTCTTCCAATCCATGAGCATGGAATATCTTTCCATTTCTTTGTGTCATCTTTCATTAGTGTTTTATAATTTTCAGATTACAGGTCTTTTGCCTCTTTTGTAAAGTTTATTCCTAGATATTTTATTGTTTTGGGTACAACTGTATATGGGATTGTTTTCTTTATTTCACTTTGCACTACCTCATTATTAGTGTATAGGAATGCAACAAATTTCTGTACATTGATTTTGCATCTTGCAACTTTACCGAAATCATTTATCAGTTCTTGTAGTTTTTTTGGTGGTCTTTCAGGTTTTCTATATATAGTATCATGTCATCTGCAAACAGTGAGTTTTACTTCTTCCTTACTAATTTAGGTGCCTTTTATTTCTTTATGTTGTCTAACTGCTGTGACTAGGACTTCCAGTACCATGTTGAATAAAAGTGGTGAGTGGACATCCTTGTCTTGTTCCTGCCCTTAGGGGAAAAGCTCTCAGTTTTTCACCATTGAGTATGATGTTGGCTGTGGGTTTTTCATATAAGGCCTTTATTATGTTAAGGAATCCTCCCTCTAGATCTACTTTGTTGAAGGTTTTTATCATGAACAGATGCTGTACTGTCAAATGCTTCTTCTACGTCTATTTAAATGATCAGATGGTTTTTAATCCTTTCTCTTGTTGATGTCATCTATCACATTGATTGTTTTCTGAATACTGAACTATCCTTGTATCACGGGAAGAAATCCCACTTGATTGTGGTATGATTTTTTTAATGTATGGTTGGATTCAGTTTGCTAATATTTTGTTAAGGATTTTTGCATCTTTATTCATGAAAGATACTGGTCTGTAGTTCTCTTTTTTTGTGGTGTCTTCATCTGGTTTTGGTATCAAGGTGATACTGTCCTCATGGAATGAATTTGGAAGTTTTCCTTCCTCTTATATTTTTTTGGTATAGTTTGAGAAGAATAAGTATTAACTTTTCTTTAAATGTTTGGTAGAATTTGCCTGTGAAGCCATCTGGTCCTGGACTTTTGTTTTTGGGGAGTTTTTTGGTTACTGAGTAAATTTCATTACTAGTAACTGGTTTGTTCAAATTTTCTTTTTTTTTTTTCCTGCTTTAGCTTTGGTAGGTTACATGTCTCTAGGAAACCAACTAGGAGACATCCACCCAGCAGTAATGAGTCTGCCACATGTCTTACAGAGATCCACCTGGCTGTGTCCAGTCTGCCATGTGTCTCAGTGAGACATTCATTCAGCAGTGACCAGCCTGCTGCCTGTCTCACTGAGACATCCACTATGTCTCATTCAAGGAGGCAACATCTACCCAGCAGTGACCAGCCTGCCACATGTTTCAGCCCTAGAAGCAGAAAACCCAGTGCAACTGGGGGTATAGCAGGACCACTTTTTTATTCTAAGAGTTTTAGTTCTCAACAGGATTGGCCACCAATCCTCAATGTAATACCAGCATCCCATAATTACCATGAGGAGACATCCACCCAGCAATGAAAAAGAAAGATTTAGAAGTCTGCACTCTATTCTAGGGAAAACATGTGGTGGATCAAATGAGCTGCTTATGGGGAGAACTTCCCAGAGAGTCATCAATGGGCTGATCTTCCCCAAAAGTGTCTTGGTTTCTCCTGGTGACAGTCTAAAACCACTGTGGGGGCTTGGAGCACTGTATGATCAGTCTTACGTGTGTGTTCCCAGCAAGCCACAAATAAATTATCATGAAGATTTCCTCTATGGAGACTACTACATGAGGAATAACCTCTGACACTTCCCTTCACCTAAAAACACTTTCTGATGGGAAGGAACAAGTATCCCTTTTCTTTGGAGCTGAGTGATTCAGTCTCTTACGCCAGCTAACAGCCTTAAGAAAAACTGTCCAAGGACTGAACCAGAGAGTCTTACAATTAAAGTGAGAGTAAAGTTTCGGAGCCAGCTAAAGCAATTCAGAGCATAGGGAGCGAGAATAGTGAATGAGAACAGGTCCCATATCAGTTCTCCCAGTTTTCCTTTTCCCCAGAGAGTAGACCAGTTACACAGAGGAGCACATAGACAGAAGTTACATCAGCATCAAACCAACTCTGTTTCACAGAGGAGGAACTTACCAATCCCCAAAGGTCAAACTGTGCTGTGCAGACTTAATTTTGGGGTACAACTGTTCCTCTGAGGGTCACTTCATAATCACCAAGATGATGCAGCAAGCCAGGTCCGAGGACCCAGAGTGGGTCCCACAGGACCAGCCAAGTGGGTCCTTGCTTCATGCAGGATGGAAATCAAATGCAAGCTAAGAGGAAGTAAGAGCAGAGTTTACTGGAAGACATAGAGCAGATACAGCTGTAGCATCTGAAGACTCGGAAAGGAAAAGGAACATGAGTCTCATCTTTGCTTGGGCATCTGGAGTTTTTATGGAGGACAGTGGTCTGGTTGTATGTGTCCTCTTAGGTATCCAGGAACTGATCAAACAAGAATGAGTCAATTTAAAAACTTTAAAAAATACCTACATATTCCTCATTGAGCTTGGGGCTCAAGAGGAAGCAAAGACAAGTAAAAAAAACTTGCTAGCCTCAGTAACTTAACATCTAGTGGAAGGAACAAACCAAGGGTGACTTTAAAACAAGAAAATAAAATAAGTGAGTCATAATAAAGGGACAAAAATAGAGACAGGACAAAGAAAACCTATAGAGAGGAGGTCCAGAAATGGACTTGGGTGAGTCTGGACAAGAATGATGGAATGAATCAGCAACAGGACACTTGGGGACTGGTTCTGTAAATATTAAGTAATTCACACAATAGTGCTTTGGGTGCAAGTCAGGGACTAGTTGGACCTAAGTGGGAAGTGGGCATTGGGAACATGTTGTGGGAGATCTCAAATATAATAACTGAATAAATATTTACTGAATGATTACAAAATGCAAGATACTGCACAAGAGATCACAAATATTTTAGACCCTTGACTGGTCAAAGAATGACAGGCTGAAGAGTTTGTTTTTAATAATACAGGCAGTAAGGAACCTATGAAGTTTTTTAGCAGTGAAAAGACAAGATAAAACTGTCCTTTAAGGAAGCGCAATTTTTAGGAGGGTGAAAGAAAGGACAACAGAGGAAAGTTCAATGAAAATATCTTTGAAACTGGTCAGGAATGAGGCATGGGACTGCACTGGGTTCCTAGCAGCGTGCATGAAAAGAAAGGGGTGAATGCAACATATTGTATCTGGGGGACTAAAAGTGGGAAGAATAGACAGTATGATATCTGAAATAGATGACTGAAAAAAGAGAAAGGTGGTGATTCTCAGTGCCTCCCATAGCTGAGTCCTTTTGTTCAGAGTACAGTCTGTAAAAACCATATGTGGCACTCTTGTGACACCAATAAAAACAGAAGCATTGGAAGATGATGCCCATTTTAAGAAGGCCACATGACAAGTTTGATTTCAGTGGTTGAGTTTAAGGTGGAATATGCATATCGAGGAAGAAATGTTTAGAACTTAATTAGAAATGCTAGACTCAGAAAGGTCCAGTTTAAAAATGTTGGTTTAGGAGTCACTCCAAGTGTGAGAATGGATGAAACTGCCCGGAGCCAGAGCATGGGGAGAACAGCTGTGAATGGGGGATGGAAGAGGAGACAGAGAAGCAGAGGTAAAAAGCAGCACCTCCATAAAAATCAAGAACTGTGAGATTTGGGGGAGAGAGGGGACAAATGTTTTCAATTCAACAAATAGTTATTTATCCTTCCATGTAATGGGTTGCAGTGAATAAGAAGAGCAACAAAATGCTTTGCTACAGCTAACAAGATCACATCCCACATTTTCTGTATTTCTTTCCAGGAGTAGAAAAATCCCAAAGCTAACATTTATTGGTAATGGTAAACGACTTAATGTTTGTATTTAATATTAGGTTATTATATTTTTATTTTTAAAAATCTAATTTAGACATAAAATGTGCTACTTTATTAGCTATCTTTTTGTAACCTAGGGTTAGCAAAGTAACCTAAACTAGGCCATTCAGTTAGTTTATAAACTCAGTAAGAAAAAAATATTTTAGTACCTAATAGAATACCTTGCACCTAGTAGGCACTCAGATACTTGTAAATTGAGTTGTATGAACTCAGTTTTTAGATAGGATGGTATTTTAGTCCGTAACATAGGACTATATATTTGTTAAATGTTTGTTGGTTATGTTTTTTATTATTAGCAGTAAAGTAAAATTATTCCTGTACTGTCAACTCCATTAGACTGTAAATTCCTCAGGGACAGTCATTCAATCTTTTACTTCTTTTTAGAATTCTGCAGATCCTAGTTATGTCAACATAGGTTGTTAATCGACTGTCTGAATTCATCTGTATCATCTGATGACATTATTAGATGATGGAGAATGATAAATAGTAGGACTTGGATTTGGAGGACTCAGAGGGTTTGACTACTGATTAATTTTGTGACTTATAGCAAGTCATTTGAACCTAAGTTGAATTCATGTTAAAAAATCATTTTTAAATGTTTTAATACACAAAATTTGCTGTCATTATTAACAAAAATATGCATGAAAAGTACACTGTACAGACATTCAGATCAATTTTATCTGATGTGAAATTTTTCCGGATAGAAGAAAGAACTGTATGAAAGGGAATACAATAATCTTAAACTTTTGTACAATAATAATTCTAGCTAAGATGCCTAATATTAGTGCATTTTTTAAAACTTGATAGTTTAAGATAATCACCTTGTAGGAAGGTTTGCCTCTGGTTTTTGTTTTGTTTTGTTTTGTCTTAAATTGGAATTCCTGGACCTATTTTAAACTAGTGCTCTTTCTTGTTTGTTTATATACCACCTTGCACTTGAAAGGATATAAGGTGGTAAAAAGTCTTTAATCTTTCAACACATATATTCTGACTTATAAAAATTAAAGATACAATACAAAATTCATGAATAGGCTAATAAAAATGTGATATGTAATTTGGTTTTCTCTGTAAAATTTCATCTCTGACTAGAAAAATACGTAAGCTAAACTTCACTGTAACTCATTTTACTCCACCACCTGGTGGATTTTAGCAATTATTCCAGAAGCAATAAAATTGTAAACCTAATATTATTTGCCAGATAATCTTTTCTCTGAATTTTTTCTCTTATTCACCTAAACTTTCCACATTGTATATGTCTTCCTTCTAGAATTTCAACTTTTGGGGTATCTTTCTATCCATCACTGGTAGTATCTCAAAAGATTCTTAATAAATGTTCATTAAAAGAAAGATAACACAGTTCATCAAAGATGACTAAAAGGGGTTTCACAGTCATAGAGAACAGAGACTAATCTACAATTTCCACACTTAGAAAGGCTCTTTTCAAGCATGAAAATAAATGAACTAAGGAGCAGCACTGTGTTGAGCCATGTCAGAGCCTGAGGCAAAAAGAAAAACCAGGACTACTGATTCTGTCTTTATTTAAAATTTTCATCCATTATGAGCTTTTTGTATTAACTTTCTTTTTTTAAATTTTATTTTATTATGTTAATCACCATACATTACATCATTAGTTTTTGATGTAGTGTTCCATGATTCATTGTTTGCATATAACACCCAGTGCTCCATTCAATACACGCCCTCTTTAATACCCATCACCAGTGTATTCACTTTCAATTTAAAAAAAATGCTTTCAACTGAAGTTTATCTTGACTACTGAATTTCTGGCATCCCTTAAATTTTATGCCCAAGGAGACCACCTTACTTGCCTCACTATGGTCCGGGACATGCTAAGAAGTCAATTTAAGAAAAAGAAAAATATTTTTAAAAAATTACAGATTAAAGAAGGATAAGTGAAAACAAGAACTAGTTCTTTAAAGTAATGAATAAAATAGGCAAAAATATTTGGCAAACGTTATTAAAAGAAAAAAAACATATGCCACATTCTATAGAGATACATTTGAAAATTACAAGACAATGTATAAGTCATCAAATTTGAACAGGGGTAAGAAAGAGAATGGAACTGACCAAACATAAACTAAACTGGAAGTCTACTTTTTAAAAAGTCACCATGCCCAGATATTGTACACTTGAAGTTCTACCTAACAATGGAGAACACATAAATTCTGTTAGTCTAATAATTACAGACTGTAGACAATTCATTTTTAAGAAGCCGGCAGAGTCTACACACAAAAACCTAAACTAGCACAAAAAAAAACAAAATGGAAATTATAAACCAAAGTCATTCATGAATTCAGATGTAAAAATTTTAGTTAAAATATTATCTTAGAAAGTTGAATCCAACAGCATACTAAAAGAAAAATAAACTATCATTATGACCAAATAAGGTTAATTTCAGAAATGCCAGGATGGATCATCATTAAACAACATACTTTTATGTCAAATTAAATGATAAAAAATGATATAATAATGAAATAATAAGCAGGCATTTGCTAGAATTCAGCAGCAAAACTCTTAATAAAACATGAATAGGAAAAAAAAAAAGATTATTTGCCAAAACATCAGATTGAAAGGTGAGAAACTGAAGTCATTCCCATGAAACCAGAAACCAAAAAGGGATTCTGGCTAGTAACATTATTGTAATTCAACACGCTATAGAGATTCTAACTAATATAATAAGAAAACTAAATATGTGGCTTAAATATTAAAAATGAAGAAATAAAGGAATCTTTATTTTAAAGATTACATGGTTGCATACCTAAGACACCTGACATTGTGCTAACATGGTTTCAGTTAATAGGAACTTTGATAAGATGGTTACATAACACAAATACATAAAGGCCGATTGTTTTTCTCTATATTAGAAACTAATTAGAAATGGAAATGGCAGAAACTTAATTAAACTATACTTGGTTATAAATATAATAAGAAAGGTATAGGACCTACAGAAATTATAAGCTTTATCAAAAGTTTAATAAAAAAACTTAATAAAGGAGATTTATTGGAAACCTTCAAATTGAAAAAAATTAGATCCCTCCCACATTATAAATCTCAATTTTAAATCTCAACTGTATCATTCTGGAACTTGATAAAATAATTTTTAAAAAATTCTTATGGAAGAATACATATATTTTCAAAAAGAAAAATAGTGAGAGGAACCTTTCCAAATTAGATATTAAAGCTAAATATAAAATGGTATGGCATTGACACAAGAATGGGCAAACTGGTCAGTGGAAAAGAAAAGGATATTTGAAAATATATCTGTAATAATATATATAAACTTTTGGAAATTCAAAAATACATATACATGTATACATACATATAAATTTATACATACACATGTATACATATATACATAAATGTTTGGAGTCTCTATGCTGTTCCACTATTCTGCCCATCCTTGTGTTCATTCACATGTATATACACATAATGTGACAATGGCAGTCAGTCCATTCTCAATGGGAAGAGAGAGGATGGTTTATTTAGTAAATGAAGCTGGCAGACTGATGGTTCAAGTCTAGAAGAAAATAAAATTAGATCCTCATATCAAATATATCAAACATATCTATCAGAAATTAATTTTAGCCATGTTAAGACCTAACTTTAGTAAAATAACACTTTATTTTTTTGCAAATCTTTTATTTTAACTTTTTTTATTATGTTATGTTAATTACCATATATTACATCATTAGTTTTTGATGTAGTGTTCCATGATTCATTATTTGTGTAAAACACCCAGTTCTCCATGCAGAAAAAATAACACTTTAAATATTAGAAAAAGAGTAAATATTACTTGCATAATCTGAAAGGGAGGCTGAAGAGACGCAGGACTTTTAAAATAAAATAGAAACCCCAACCACTAGTAAAAAGAAAGACAAGCTCAAATATCTGTCAAATTTTCCACACCCACAGCCACTACTCCAGAGGTTCTAAATGTTTTATAAATAATACTACTGTATATTAACATTTTGAGCAATGTTAGTACTGTCTTCTTAACAATATTTTATGTAATACTTTTGGCATCCTCCCCATGGTCCTGCTCAGGTTTTCCTACAGTAGGTGCTGAAAATGGCTTCAATAAATATCTGAGTGATATAGAAACAGAAGGACCCTGATCATCTTGCTGCTTAAGTTGAGCCCTAAGTGTTTCTCTCCAACCTGTTGATGATGGGGTGGGAGCTGTTTTCAAGGTTTGTTAGGGAGACCACTTAATGTAGAGAGAATCATCTGTGGCCTCCTCCTGGACATGTTGAAGATCTCCAAGACAAGACACCGTCTTTCTACTCAAGATTATGTAAGTGTCCTCTTATCCTGATAAAGTCTCGAAGGCACTGAGTAAATGTCATCTATTACGGAATGTGGTAACACTTTGAGACATTATTCAGAAGAAGCAACTGGGCAATAATCATTTACGTTTTCTTTTAGGTCTCTGATGTAAGTTTAAGTATAGTCCTTTAGTATATGCTACTTAAATGATATTTCCCAAAAAATATTTTTTAAGACACTAAGAAAGTCAGTTTATGAACCAACTACTGATAAAAGACTGATGATTAAATTCTAAGTATTCATTTATAAATTCATTTATGATTTAATTTGTAAACATTTATAAATTCCTTTCATTTACAGATCTATACATAGTAAATATTTTCAGATTTTTGTCATTTTTGTTTAGTCTTATGCATTTATACAGATACCTCCCAAACATTTAGTCTTACTTTTTAGAGGGAGGCATTAACTCCCATGTTACTAAAGAACCCGGAATGTAAAATTCAGAAAGCTGGCAAAAAGAGTTTATGCAATGCTACAGAAAAAAAATATCTTCCTGGATCTGCATCTCATGTGTGTTTGTTCAGTTTCTCAATAACTTTTGGTCTATGATAACTATCTTTCCTGGCATACACCAGACCACCTGTGATTTTAATTAGTTATCATATTTTACTAAGTGCCTACTATGTGATTGGGATAATTGGTTGTTTTCGTTCTAGGTACTGGCAACAAATAAGTCAGGAAACCTCAGAGTACTGGAAGGTTATGCTTTATTTCTGATTGACTTGGCAAGAAAAAAAAAAAATTTCACTACTGCTTGGCCAGGATGACTAGATGGTCTACTGGCTAAGTCAATCTGGATACAGAATTTATTAGAAATGACACCATACGGGACTAGGTCTTGGGGGATCAACTCTGGAAACACTCTGATCTGAGAAGAACCTTCCAGTATCTAACTGAAAATCAGTAGCCTTGGGAGCATAGATTTTGAGACAGGGGTCTTTGCCATTTTTTCCATCTAACCCCTAAAACAATCGTGGGCACAAATGGGCGGCCAGGAGGCCTTATCACTCTAATGAATGAAGGCCCTATGGATCCACTGGCTTCTCTGTGACCTACAGGAGCTCTGCTTTCATTAGAATGGAAAATGGTGTTTCTAACATGCAGTGTATCAGCCTATTCATCTCAGGACAGGCTAAGTGAGTATAGCTCAGTGAGTCCAAATTCCACCTTGATTTCTTCAGTTTGTTACTAACTAAAAGCCTGAGCATTTTCTGAATTGCTTGTCACAGGGAATACCTGCTCCTCCAAGAAGTTAACAAATGTACCCACTGACAGTGCTAAGATGGCAGATAATCACCGAAGGTCTATAACTAACTCAATTCATCTGACTCATCCAAAAAACAAGTGATTTTCTTTTCCCCTGGGGCATGGCACTTCTTCACATCTTCAAAAGAAAATTATGGGTATTTTTCTTTTCTTCCCTTTTTTATTTTTTAAAGTGCAGATTCGTTAAACCCAAATTATCAGAGTCTTCTTAGAAAGGACATATCTATATCTACATGGCTAAGTAAGTATATGCAAGTGTACACTGACAATTGAGCATTTTCTTAAGTAAGTTTTTGTATACATTTAAATAACATGACTTAATTGGGAAATTTTCTCTGCCACTTTTGAAATTGTATTACTTACATTAGAGATCACAAGGGATTAACTATCTTAGTAACCAGTTTATCACATTAAATGTATTTTTAATGTATGCTAATTTCAAAAGGCTCATAGGACAGTCAGCTTGCTTTAGCCGTCTGCAGTATTGGGAAGAATCTGGATTGGGAACGACTTGTATATATCTCTGCAGCAAGGCACTAGATTATTGGCTGTGTGTTTCTACATTTAGAAAATAGCAGTTAATACTTAGCTTCTGCACAAAAAAAATGTTATTTAGACTAATAAGGGAGTTGAGCATAGCAATGTTAATTATAACATTATTATTCACCTTCAGTCTTAAAAAAAACTCAAGACAAAACTTCCTAGAACAACATGATGGACTCTGTGTGAAGATTTAAACATTTGCTTTTAGCTATATCTGGAATAGCAGATATGTTCTTAATTAAAATCTCAGGATACTAAGCTTATGAATAATTAAAGTTACCTAAAACCCGTTTATTATTGAGAGCTGGTGTTGGGAGGAGCCTAAAGATAAATCCTTTTTTCTTTCTTTCTTTTTCTTTTCCACATACAGGAAACCACTGGGGCCCAAGGAAGTTAAAAATAACTTTCCTAAAGAGACAAGGTGACCATGAGCATCTAAGCCATAACCAGAAGGTGGATTTTCCAGGCCCCTCCTTTGTCCTATCGTGTATCTCTGTATTTAGAGAAGTGGTAAAATAATCAGGGAGACACCAAGCCCTGGCCTTCAAATATTAATCAATCTACTAACAATGAAGAGTTATTATTCTACGACACCTTTGAGCAATAGGAACTATGATCACTGCAAAAGAATTAGTAGTACTTTCCAAGATCCCCTTTCAAGTGCAGAGAATCTGGGAGAAGCACAGTGTTGTGAGGTCGCTGGGACCTGGAACCGACCAAGGGAGGAATTTCTACAGTTTCTACTCCAGGGAACCTCGGGAGGCACGCCTGGGCAGGGGCGCGGCCGGCGGCACAGCTCGGGGAACGCGGGGCGGTGCCCCAGCGACCCCCGCCCGCCTCCCGGACCCCGGCGCCGCTCCGGTCGGTTCCCTGCCGGGCCGCCAGCCCGCGCCGCGCTCCCAAGGCGGGAGCGGGATGCCTCCCCGGGGACGGGCCTCAGCCGCAGGCCCCGTGGGCCGGGGCGTGCGCTCGAGGGTCGCGGGTGCCAGGAAGGGGCCGCGTACCTCCGACTCGGGTGTGGTTCCCGCCGGGGTCGTCGCCGCGGGTGTCGTTCCCCCGAGAGTGGTCCCCACCGACATCCTCAAGATCTCGCCCCGGGGCCGCGGCCCTTCGTCGCCTAGGCAACAGGGGCGGGGCCGGGGGCGCGAGTCTGGGGAACGGATCCCTCCGCGAAGAGGCTTCCGGGTCGGAACTTGGGCCCCTCCGGGAGAGGGCAGGGGTGGAGGGCGGGCCAGGGCCGCCGCGGGGCTCCTCTGCGGAGGAGATCCCCCGCAGCAGGGCTGTGAATCACCGGGTAGAGAAAGACTCGTTCCTTTCAGTAAGAGTGAAAGCAAGAAGGAAAAAAAAGGCAATTTAAATAACAGCAATTTAAATGAACTAGTGTGTGGGCAAGTGTCTAATGCTAACATCGCAAGTTCTCAATAAATATTAAAATGAGATATATTATTGGAACTTGATCATTGATTTTTGTTGTTATTGTAATTTTAAGGCGATATGATGTTATTGTCATGTTTAGAAGAAAAAAAGAAGTGTCCTCTTAGAGATAAATACTGAAAGATTTAGTGATGATGAAGTAATAATGTTTGCATTTACTCCAAAATAATGAGGGAAGGGGTTTGGATTATTGAGTGGAGTTATGGTAGGTGAATCAAGATTGGGTACATGGAGGGGGCGGGGTCATTACATTACTCTCTATTTTAGGTACGTTTGAAATTTTCCATAATAAAGCATTTGAAAATAATATATCTAGTGGCCGTATTAGTATGACAACACCTGCTTTGAAAATTCACCTAGTATTTACCTGCGTGGGGTTGCTATGCAGAAAGTTGACTGTAAAAATCAGACGTTATGAAAGTGACTCGGTTTCCCCATCTATAAAATGAGATGGTAACAGCATCTCATAGCATAAAGGACTTAACATGTTAATATACAGGATTTCATGTGTGAGGATTTAATATGTTAATACATGAGTTTTGTTTAGAACAGGGTCTAGCACCTGTAAGTGTTAGATGTTATTAAGATTAGTATTAGTTTGTGTTATGCTTCTCCTGACCTTTATCCACCTTGTACACAGCTGCCAGGATAATATTTCATCATGGACCTCTTATATTTGCCCAGTGCCTTTCAGGTCAAACTGAACACTTTAGCTTTACATAACCTCATAATTGTGCCCAATTGCCTCCCAGCTCAATTATGTGCACAGTTTGTACTGTCAACTTGTGTTCGTGAATTCTCCCGTTTTGTGTATATTTGGTCAATCTTTCAAGTGAATTGTAGTGTCCTTTCCTTGATATCTTCATTCTTAAAGAAACTGGTTGAGTTCCTAATACAGAGTAGTCATTTAACAATGTGTCTATGACTCCCAATCCCATTTAAAAAGAACTACATTAGAACTTCCTCAATTAGTGAAAATATAGTCGATTTATAGTGATCGCCAGAGTTAATACAAGAGCTACCACCTCACAAACTCATTGCAATGCTTAATTATTTGATTGTTTCCTTCTGATAGCTACTTCAAATAAATTGAAAATAACAGGTCACCTTCTGCTAGGTGACAACTCTCCACATTCTTTAAATTTAGCATTTGGTAAAGTGCTAAAGCATTGATCTCTCTAAGCTGCAGTTCTTGTTTCCTCAAAAGTCTGATTTATTTTTCTGGCCTCTAATTGTCCTGCTATTTCTTTGGCAGTTTTTAGGGGTTTTGTGCCCCTTTTTTGGACCTGATGGATACTCCATTAAAGATGGAATCAATTTTCACAGTGATGGGAGAGTTGCCTCAGAGAGGGGAGAATTGTTTTGTAGGAATTCCAGTTTTACTGTATTTAATGGCGTAATTTATTGGAGAAGTCATTTTTGAGGAGGTAATTTAATTTTATGGGACACAAAATTTTTTGCCCAGTAAGGAGCGGTGTTGAAAGCCCATTAGCCTGAAGGTTACTTTTAATTTGCACAAGTTGAAGCTGATTTTAGCCTCCCACTTCTTTTGTAGGGAGGTGCCAACAAGGAAGACAAATCTCAGTAGGTGATGTGCTTTCTTACATGGAAAGGTCAGTTAAGTCTTCCTTCTCAGGTCTCTTTTGAAGATAAAGGCTTCTAACCAAAGGCTGTAAAATTCCATTTTTTATCTTATTGTTGTAGCATGGAAGAGAAAAGGAAACATATGGGTCTTGTAGTTTACAATTATTGTTTGAAAAGACCTTTGACTTTTACCACATCACAGTGAAATACGGGATAGCTCAATACTGCTATTTTGATCCATTGGATTGGCCCTGTTCTCATGAAAATATTCCCATCCATATACCTGTAAACCTGTGCTTTTTACAAGAGAGGCATTTTCACAATTTTGCCAATTCAAGTATTGGGTGTTTAAAATAAACCATACGTTTACATACCTGAGAAACATTTAGGAAAGGACTAGACAATGCTATGATGGATGTTGATGGTCTAGTGTGGCAATATATGGCAATAAGCTCTGACAGCGAGATGTTAGTTGACTTCTTAGGTAGGGAAACATAACATGGTGCCCATGTTACTGGCTTCTTTTAAGTATGAATGAAGTTCTTTAACAACAAATGAAATAATGTCACTAATGTGATTAATGACATACTAGTAGTTCAAACAATGTGATTCCTGAGGTCCTCAATCTTTTAACACTCGTGATGATCTTAAGTGGATCAAGCTGGAAAATTCCAATTTGGCCTTTAAGTGGTTCTGAGACACCACAACATTCTGTAGATGGAATTCAGATAACATGTTATATCTTAGCCTTGAAATATGTTAAAATTGTTAGATGTAGAAAGAAAAAATATAAAAAGCATTTAATTTGTGAGTAATTGCCTTCATTCTCTGTTACATATTCAATTTTAGCCAAGAAAATATTCCAATAGCTAATCAATTTTGAAATCTATTCAGTTTTCTTGCCTTTACCTAATCTTCAAATCTGGCCTTCTTATTTCAACCAAGTGCCTTAATCTGTTCAAGTCATATGTGAGAACATTTTAAAGCCTAATAAAACATGTTTAGGAGATGGCATAGTAAACCTATTGTACTAGTTTTAAGTAGTTCTAAGACTGACTAACTATGGGGGCTGATAATGATTTTCAATAAACAGTTGATACAGTTTTGACATTGTTCATTACCTGCAACTTGTCTTCAAAACTCTATACTCTCCATTGTGGGTTTATCTGTTATTCTCTCTTTCTCCAGTTACAGTAGATCCTTATGCTCTTCAAATGAAAACTCCAAGTCTCTTTCCCTAATCAGAAAATACTCTTTTCCTAATCCAGAGACAGCTTTAAGATAGTTTTGTAACTTGTTCTTTTTCTTCCTGATCAATTTATTGAAAAAGTGGGATCTTACTCCTCACCTCTCTTTAAACCACTCCATGCCCTTACTTCCTTTGCTCTCCTCAAGCTGTCCCACCTCAAGAGCTGCCACTAGGCTCTATCTTCCTTGGTATGTCGACATTCTCTATTTGCCCTTCATATCCATTCTTTTCCTTCTCCACTCAGCCTTGTGATCTGGAAGGTTGACCGTTATGGACTCCAACAGCTGGATGTACTACATGCCTTGCCCTCTGACCTATGGTTCATTTTGGCCAATGGAAAAACCGGCAGGGGGTTGGAGGGAGGAAGAGTGAGGTGAGGGTCATTTATTCCCCCTTCTTCCCTCCCTGCAGGATAGTAGGCTGGAAGTATTATGTTCCTACACCAAAGGCTTTCAAGGCCACAGCCCATCCCTTAGCTTCTCCAGAGCTATAGCTCTCTCTGGGTTTTGGTAACCTTCTCCCCTTTCCCCTTCAGGCCTAGAAGCAATAATGTCTCCCTCCTGTTCCTAGCCCCAGGATGGTTCCCCATCCCTTGCTGGTTTCCCTTATGTCTGCCCATATGTTTATAAATAGCTCCTTTACTAAATTTTCCTCAGTTCCCACCTTTTGCCATCTATTTCCTGCTGGTATCTGGGCTGATATCACCAAAAATTAACTCCAGCACATTTAACACAAAAGACTAAGCCTGGCTTGCTCAACACCACTGTTGTCCACAATTTAGTTGTTTTGCAATGAGCAGTATCATCTACAAGACAACTTAAACAATTATTTAGGTAGGACTGCATCCCACCCTCACCCATTCTCTACCCGGAACAGTTGCACCCAAGTTCCACTACCCTCAAGATGGATGGCAAGCAGAGGAGTGTTGTAACTACCCATGGGACCTGTGTCATCCATGTCCTAAGCAGCTGTCTGTCTCAGACAGCCCGTATAAACTCCTGGCTCTCCAAATTCTAACCTCTGGATGCCAAGCAGACTATATAGTTCCCCTGTTGACAAAACTTCTTTAAAATTTGTCCTATAAAAACACAAAATAACAGATCACCTGGGCCTTGGCCCAAGTCCTGCTTTCTCCATGAATGGTGGGAAGTGTGGGGGAGGAGCAGTGCCTTCTTCTCTTCATGCTGATCCTGGCCCTGAATGTTTGACCTTTCCCAATAAAACCTCCCATACCATGTGGTATGGAATTCATCTGGAAACCAGGAGGGCCACAACAGGCAGGGGAGTGGCTTGTGAGAATGCATGTGGTTCACAGCTTCACTCCTCCCAGCACATTTAGATTTATAATCTGTATTTGCACACAAGTCCTACTAATTATTTTCATTTACAAATTGTTCTTTATTGTAGCATTTATGCTAATAGTTTCATCATTCCTTTTATGCTTCAGTGAACTACTTTTGAATCATCGATCCATATTTGTGGACTGGTAATTTAATGCCAAAACACAAGTTAAACCCAGGCAATGGCATACATATTAAGTGAAATGCTTCAGCTGACAAAAACTGCATCCTGTTTCCAGAATGTTAGCCAAGGCAGCCTGACCCAAATTCCTAAAGTGCAAGCAAAATCTTTAAACACATGATTTGAGTTAACCATAAAGAATTTTTGTAAAAATCAAAATTCATCCCATATTTTACATTTGTGAAATATGTATGATCAGGATAGTTGCATTGATGTTTTTCCCTTCTAAAACTGCCTAAAAGTGACTGGGTTCCACT